AATAATAATAATAATAGTAATATTACAATAGTAGTAATAATATACAGTATAATAGTAACATAATAAACAAAAATAATACAATATATGTAAGCATAAGTGTATGGCTCGAGAAGATGGCGTAGCTTGTCTGAGAATTGAACTTTCAGCAACATGGAGAGAATCCGAGAAGGTATCGGTGATAAGCTTGGTCTGCTCTTGCGTGGCTGTGCAATGTTCATCGCTGCAGTGATCATTGCGTTCATTTACGAATGGCGCCTAGCTCTAATGATGCTTGGCGTTGTCCCGAGCACGTGTGTCATCATGTCGTTCATGGCGAGAGTGAGTCTTATGAAGAATCATTGCATCAAATTCTGCCAAATCCCAAAATGAGAAGGGCGCTGCTGCATGTTCAGTTTGATCATGGCGTGAGATGCGTTTCTCATCGGATATCCTCAGTTGAGGGGACCGTCATTATACCTTGTGGTAGTCAAGTACACGATCAGGCCGCCTTTTCAAAACGGTTATAAACCTAAAGCACAGTTCCACGCTTCCAATTAAGTCGGCACCCACGTCCTCTCCATATCTTGGATACATAGTGCATTTATGAGAAATATGACTGAAGTTTTTGATCTTAAAGGCAGTTGGCACGATAAATCGCTATACAGGTGTAGGATTTGTACAACTGGCTTAACAGAATTCCGTGACCTCGGACAGGCGCTGCGTGAAGCCTTTTCCAAGGAGGGTACCTCTATAACGCCCTATTGAGCAACAACTTTACGTCCCAAACGCCTTCCTTGCCCGCCCGCCCACAAACGGACGACCGTTTCTGACGCTCGTATTCATTCATTTGCTGAGCAAATTATGAAGCAAAGGGATTGGTATGAAGCGGCGGTGATGCTGCATGCATATATGGGTACACATATGCAGCCGTATCTTCGGTAGCGGTGATTGGCAAGATGCGTACGGGAAACTCGTCCGAAATCGATTTACAAGTCACTGAGAACGGAGGCTTTTTCTTCGCCGGATTTTGACCGTTTCACTCCGTTCTTTCGCCATTTCCCCACTATACAGCGCCCTACTAGCATTTTAGGCTAAGTAGGAAACCATCGTGCCAACTGCCTTTAAGCAGCTTTTGAAAATTCGGTATTTTGGTTTCTGGAAACGACGGAGACTTGTCTTGAGGGATCTACCTATTCAGAAGATGACGTCAACGACAATGAGCGAGTTGGCAGGCGTGGGAAAGGCTGGATCGATAGCTGAAGAATCGCTGATGGGAGTCCGAACAATCCAAGCCCTCAACGGACAAAATGAAATGGTTGAACGGTAAGCATTGAACTCCTCCATTTTTTTGTCCAGTCAGATGAAGAACTTTTCCTAAAAAGCTAGTAGTCATTAAAAAGCAAGCGCAGCGTGAGCCGAAGGCAAGCGAGTGGCCCCACGAAGAAAGTTATCGGAAGCACAAACAGGCCACAGCATCGTGATGTGTAAAATGGCCGTGTCAATAGGCCTCCCCCGGAAAGGCATCCCCGCAATACCCACCTCCACCTTCCCGGCTTTAATTATTTGCTCTGAGGATAGAGATTAAAGGCAGTTGGGAAGCTAAATCCCTGAAACGAGTAGGATTGATACGCTTGGCAGGACGGAATTCCGCGACCCTGAGCAGGCGCTGCGTAGCGCCTTTCCCAAGGAAGGTACCCTTATAAGGCCCTATCAAGCTACAACATACCGACCCGAACGCCCACCGCGCCGCCCGCCCACAAATGGACGACCGTACCTGATGCTCGTATTGCTTCATTTGCGAAGTAAAATATGAAGCGAAGGGATTGGTGTGAAGCGGCTGCGTGCTGATGGATGTATAAGTGCATACGTGTAGCCGTATCTACTGTAGCGCTTATCGGCAAGATTTTTCCAGGAAAGTCGTCCCAAATCGCTTTCTGAGTCATAAAGAACGAAGGCTTTTCTTCGCAGCTATGGACCGCTCATTCCGTTTTTTTTTCGCCACTTCATAGCGCCGTGCTGGAACTTTAGGCCAAGTACCAAATCATTTTGCCAATTGCCTTTGAATACGGAACGATCTGCAAGAGCTTGCGGCTGTGTATTGATGGGCGAAATACTGAGCCACTCAAAACCCGACTCCCTGTGCCATTGTAAGAATACTCATTTGAGAACTTGAATGTGCCCTCAGAATACATATATCGATCTGGCCTGAGTGTGCGCTGCGCACTACGCTTCTACGCATAGGTGGTGGAAAGGTGTAACTTCTATGTAGTTTGTCTTCGAGCCTCGACAATATTGAAGTACTTTATTCGGCCAACGCGTCCTTCGCCTTCGTCAGAGCCTGAAATGGACAAATGAGGTACAACTTCTAATTTTAGGTGATTTTTGTCTATCTGCTTTGCTTAGGGTGGAAAGGTTGATAAGCGCGAATCTGTTCGAGATGTCTTATTTAGTCATCTACATGTTTACGAGTTCTGCAACACTGCGCCCACTCATCAAATTAGCGATGACACTTTTGTGCTGTTTGGTGCTCACCGACCCTGTGTTTACGGAATCCCCTCCCCAGCAACTAAGTACGACACCCCCCCCCCCTCCCTCCCGAGGATTTTGCAGAGCGATGCTTTCCCCTGAGCGCAAATAGCATAATGAGTGACATTCGTTTCACTGCGAGTTTAGGTTGAAAGATTCTCAAATTCTTCGACGCTGTCATTGCCGACAGATACAGGTTAGTGGAGTAAGCGTTTCCGTTATCAAAGGAACCAGTAATTTAAAGGCACATTCCGCGAAAAAATAAGGCTATGACCTCTCAAATGTGTCGGACGATCCGGAAGGCGATTTTTGAGGCTGCGCTACTTTCAAAATGTGAAAAACGGCTAGAAGCTGACTAATTAGGCCCATGGACACCCCTTAGGCCCATGCCGACCCTCACCGGCTGCTAGCTACTAGCTAGTAGCCACTATGTTATCTTTCTCTATAACATTTCGGACTGCTTTTTCTGCTGCTTTTCTCCGCTAATCAGATACTTAGCACTTTTTTGTGCCTATTTGAGTTCCGTTTCCCGCAATTTGCGGTCGCGAACTGTGCCTTTAAAGGCAGCGCCCGCGTTCAATTTGATGAGTTATGGGGCTCAGACAGTGACAACAAGGTAGCAAGTAGTTCATTAGTGAAGAAAAATGCAAAAAATCATCGGATATGCCCTATATAGGACCCCACGCCGAGCTGAGGTTGTACGTGCTTAAGGCGAAGAGAAGGCGCGGCCGCACGAGTTCTCACTTGTTGGTATCAGCTGTTTTCCCTTATCACCTCACTCTCACCATTCGAAGTTGAGAGAGCTAGTGGTGGAACAACCGCACCAACCGGCAACCATTAGAAATGAAGTTGGGCGTAGTGGTCGCCAGGTGGGCGGTGGCCGACTCTTCACGAGCGGGCGCCGCTATTCTCTCGCATTTTTGAGTTGCGAAACTAGTACGTCCACCATCCCAGTGAGCTACGATATCCAAAGAGGGCGTGGAGACAACAATTGAACGCGGGCGCTGCCTTTAAGAGGCTGTTAATTGTCTAACTTAGCCACAGCATAGCTCCGACATCGCTCGACACGCGCCGTCGATAAGTTTTCTTCTCTCCCGATACGCACTCCGCCGTATCAGGGATAAGTGCACCACCGGGGAAAGATGTGAATTTTCATCAAGAATAACAAAAAATCCAGTTCTGAAATAGGTTCCGAGTTCCCAGGTGGACGAATAAAGTTCTTATCTCTTTTGTGCTGTCCAGCTGTTGTCGGGTACGCTTCTTTCCAACGCTTTCCAACGGTCCCTGTAAATAGAATCGGCTGCGGACAGGCCAGCAGCAGTCATGTCCATATTCAGGTTGTCTTTCCACCGCATTCTGGGTCGGCCTTTTGGACGTTTACCGGCAAAGACGATCTTATCAGCGGACTTCGATACAGCATCAGGAGGTCTTCGTTGAACGTGACCATACCAGCGGAGACGAGCTGCGGCAAGGGAGTTGGCAATCGGCTGGACCTTCATCTTGTCTCCGACTGTCTCGTTGCGGACTTGCGTGCGTTCGTAACATTCTCATCTCCATAACACAGCAGCCTCTTGTTTCCTTGGCCGTCATCTGTTTATTCTCGGCTCCATAGATGGCGACTTCACGTCCAGAGTGTAGATTCTTTGACTTCAGGCATACCAGTGTTCTCTTATCACAGAGAACGCCAGTAACAGATCTCCATTTGCTCCATGCAGCGTTGATTCTTGCAGTGGTGTCGGCCTTGGCATCTCCGTCCGCGGCAAGCGTAGATCCGAGATACGGAAACGTCGTTGCTCTGGAGAGGGTGTTCCATCGACTACGATTGACGATGTTGCGGTGGTGCACATATATTCCGTTCTGCTTATATTAAGCCTGAGTCCATGGTTGGCCAGCTCTCTCTTCCAGTCCTTGACGCGCCGTTCTAATTTCCTTTGGATCTGTCCATCAGCAGTACATCGTCAGCATATCCCAGCGTCAAAGGCGGCTCTTTCCTGATGTTCCTCGTAGCGTAGTCCATACATAGAATGAACAACAGTGGCGAAAGAGCCGATCCCTGGTGAACACCAACAGCAACCCGGAACTGTGGAGTGTCTCCAACAGGCGTCCGGATGGAGGTTGTAGAGTTCAAGTAGGTTAGCTGAACTGCCTTAAAGACACATGGTACGCTCAAACACATTGAGGGTGTATGAGACTATCAGCCCCCCAGCTGTCGATGTGTCGTGGTTTCCCCGCCCAAAACTGCACGGGGTTCCGAGTACGGGACCGTGGGAAAGGCTTATTCCTTGCTACGCCGCCCAAAATGCAACTTGCGCGCGGCGAAATGCAACTTGCGCGCGGTGCATTTTGGGCGGTGTAGCAAGGAATAAGCCTTTCCCACGGTCCCGTACTAGGACCCCGTGCAGTTTCGGGCGGGGAAACCACGACACATCGACAGCTGGGGGGCTGTTAGTCTCATACACCCTCAATGTGTTTGAGCGTACCATGTGTCTTTAATGAGTGTTTCTGGAACTTGCTGATACCGAAGAGCTTCCCAAATGAGTTGACGCGGCACTCTGTCGAAGGCTTTCTCCAGATCCAGAAAAGCCAAATGAAGTGGCTTGTTCCATTCTCTAGCCTTTTCCATCAGACGGCGAACAACGTGGATGGCGTCTGTGGTCCCGTGTTCAGGTCGAAATCCGCACTGCATCCGACTGATGTTAACTATTTCCCTCAGCCTGGCGTCCAGCACACGTTCAAAAACTTTCAAAGTGTGGCACATTAGGCGAATCGGTCGGTAGTTGCTGCAGTTAGCGATATCTCCCTTCTTTTTATATATCGGCACGGTGACACTCTTTGACCAGTCCGTGAGGATCTCTCAGATCTCCGTGAGGATCTCGAGGATCCATCTTTCAGGCATCTGTGTGGAAAAGCTGCGTTAGATGGGAGCGACCTCCGAAGTGCTTCCATACTTCGACGGGAATGTCATCTGGACCAGTAGCCTTCCTGTTCTTCATCTTCTTGATGGCATCCTTTGACCTCATCCTCGGTGATACGTGGGATGGAAATTTAGGTCGGTGGTTCATTTGGAAGCGCCGAATGTGGATACTCAGCGTTGCATGTATCCTGGTAGTATTCTTGTCCTTTCTGATTTCCTGATTTTCTGAAGGTCATGCTGGAGCACTCCATTGCCAGCTTTGATGAATGTCGTAGTGCTCGTGAAATCTTGCGCTGTTCAGAAGCTAACTCTGGCATGGCGGTAGATCTGCTTCTTTCCGTATCCAGGTAGGCGACAAGAGCTTCTGTCCCGCTCTTAATAGGCACTAGCAATTGTCCGTTTGGCTTTTCGCTTGGCTTCGTGGTGCCTCATTCTAGTCTTTTCCGTAGGGTTGGAATGTCAAGCTTTGTACGTGTCTTCTTTGCCGTGGCTGTGGCTGAGACATTTTTTCCAAAATTAGGCACGTCGGTCCGATGCACGCTTAGATTCCTTCTTATAGCCAGTGGGCCGCGCGGTATCTCGGATTTCACCGACAAGTCTTTTCCAGTCATTCTCAACGTCTTCGGACGTGGCCTGATGGATCTTCATCGATAAGTGGTCCTTGACAGTTGGTCTCAGCGTAGCAATCCTGTTCCACCTCAAAGCTTTCTGATGATTCTCGGCTGCTTGAAGGCAGATGAGTTGGCCGGCATCTTAATGGTCGCAATGACTGGACGATGTTGACTGTTGACCGTTACCGATGGGATCACCTTGCAGTCTAGCACGTTGCTTCGTTGGCTCCTCCGCGTCAAATGTAGTCGACCTGGGTCATACGTCCCCACTGCAGT